TCTCTCTCTCTCTCTCTCTCTCTCTCTCTCTCTCTCTCTCTCACACACACACACACACACACACACACACACACACACACACACACACACAGGGCAGGGAGGGGAATCCCAAGAGGAATGCAGCTTTTTGATCCTGAAGGAAATTTGGGCCTTCCATTAACCATCTCTCCAAATTTCACCGAAAATGACACCACCTATTAACCATTAGTGTATAATTCTACTCTAGGTCAAGCCCTGTTCTTGTCCTAAATCACATTCAATATCATTGTTCTCAGCTCATCAGCCTGTTCATCTGTGTGTGACGTTTGTATTATGAGCCTTTTTTTTTTTCTTTTTCTTTTTTTCTTTTTTTTCTTTTTCTTTTTTTCTTTTTCTTTTTTTTGAGAACAGGATGTGATTCAGAAAGCATGAGGGGGGATCATGAATATCTAATGACCTATTAAGGAACTACTCATGCAATGGGCTCCCACAGAGGTCCTATGAATGCTCACAACCCTCAGGATCCTCTTTTTTTTTTTCCAAAAAAAACTCCCCCACCAGTGTTAGTGCTGCTGGTAAGAGCAGACACCACGAACACCTGGGACCCCTAAAAAGCCCTTTTAAGACTTTCCAACACAGTCTTACTCCCTGCTGAGCTCTTCCAGGCCTCACGCCCCCACCCTGCTAGGTTACAGGGCAACACAACTCGCCCCAGCTCTGACCAGTGACGTCCCAGCAGCAACCCTTGGCTGTCCCTTGGGATGCCCACCCCAAAGCATCCCCAGATCTCTCTACCAGGCCTCACGCTCCTGCATCAGCAGGTTACAGGGCAACAGCCCAGAACCGGCCAGCGTCGTTCTGGCATCGAACAGCCGCAGGTCACTGAGTATAACAGCATGGAAACCACCTAAGATGGGTTGCTAAGAGTCCCTAGAGTCCTAAGACATTCATAAGAAAAACCAACTTTTTTTCCTCTATTCAGACTCTACCAAGTCATTAGAATATGTGTCAAAAAGCCTCCCAACCACGAATCGGATAGGTGAAACCTATTCAATCCACCTACGACCACCATGAGCATGGCTGTTTTCAGCACGAACCGAAGCTCTACCAGGCCTCATGCTCCCATCAGGTTAGGTTACAGAGTTGCACCACCTTGCTCCAGCACCGGCCAGCATTGCTCCAGTTACGACCCCCGATGACCACTGAGACTGCCCCCGTGAACAGCCCCCCACAGCTCTCTACCAGGCCTCACGCCCCCACTAAGCTAGGTCACAGAGTTGCGCCACCTGGCTCCGGCTCCGGCCAGCGTTGCTCCAGCATCGGTCTTCGAGGGCCACCGAATTTTCAACCACCCTTCGCAGGATCACAGATGACTTGCCAGATAGCACCTATTCCTACAACCTCCTCGAGAGGCAAACCAAATGGAAAGAAATAGTAAACTGGATGATAGACTTATTCGAGAGAGATCGCCCCTCCCTCCCACTACCCCTCCCCCTTCAGCCCTACACTGCCTCCGCCGAGGTGAGTCACCCACTCTCCCTCGGCCCGAATATAGGACCAACCATCTACCCCCCTTTCCCCAGGAGCATGCACTTCCCACCTAAAGCATGCCCCCCTGCCCCTTGCCCATTTCTGCCTCCGCAGGGACTGATGTTGACGCACGCACCAGCCCCTGCCCCAGAATAGGGCAACCTTCTACTCCGCCCCTACCCTCTTTGAGACATTCACCCCCATCTTGTGATGCCCCTGCAAGATAGAGCTCCCCCCAGAGGGTGTTGAAAACCAACTCTAATAAAGATTTCATGGACGACTGATATTGCCGATCAGTCCTTGTTTCTTCTCTTATCTGCCACTGCTGGCCCATGGCAAGGACAAGCCATGGGAAGAGGCATGGGAAGTGGAGAGGAAACATCATGGGAAGAGGCATAGAGGCAGGCATGAAGAAAGCGCGTAGGGAGGACAAGCCATAGGAAGTGACATGGGAAGTGGCATGGGAATTGGCAAGGGAATATGCATAAGAAGAGACATTGGGAGAGGCATGCAAGGAGGCATGGAGAGAGGGGCACAAGAAACCTTTTCCGTTGACAACGGGTGTTGAAATCAGTCCTTTTAACGGTATGCCACAAATGACGACCAGGGGGGCCATGTGGGGTGATAGATATGGCAACAAGGAGAAAGTGGGCTATAGAGAAGATCAACAAGGCCTGATACTAAGATTGGAATTGGACATTTACTATTTTTTTTTTTTAAATAAGGTTTTATAGTGTTTTTTTTTGTTTTCCTTGTGTTTTTTTGCTTGTTTGTTTCTTTGATGTTGGTATTATGAACCTGTATCATTTGTTTCCAAAATTTCCCACCATATTGCTTGTGGCGGTTTGTCGAAAAACATCAATTTTTTGGCTTTCCATTAGCCATTTCCCTCGGACATGACACCTTTTGTTAGAAAATAAACTCGTGCGTACAATAACAAAAGGTATCATGTTGTCAAGATATGGTTTATGGAAGGTTGAAAAGCGGTGTTTTTCGATAAATCGCCACAATTAGTATGGTGGAATATTTTGGAAACAAACAGCACAGGTTCATGATAAAAACATTAGAAAAAAGGCAAAAAAAATTGAAAAAACACTATAAAACCCTAACGAAAAAATATTTTTCAAATTCAAATAAGTGTTCATCGAATTTGTTATTTTTCACCAACTTTGTTAATGATCAAAATATGTTCAAATTGAATATTTGATATATCGCAAAGCACATATATATCACAAAAGAAAAAATGAAGAAAAAAATAAAAAACCAGGACAATGTGGCAGTTTCGATGAAAAATTTGGCGAAAATGACATCACTTATTAACTACATATGATACTACCCTGATCCGCAAACGTAAAGTTGATATCGGCATTTTACGATCAAGTCTAGAGTAAGGTCTTACACGATTGCCTTTCGATATTAGATTGGGTCATGTTAACAACAAAACCAATAAGATATGTGGTCTCCTTTGTAAAAATGTTGTCAACCTCTAATTAACAAAAAACAACAATGGGGACATTGTCTTATGTTATGTCTATTTGGTATTGGTGGGACTCGACTCAGATGCACATTAGAGGATTGATCCTCGGTAGGAAATTCTACCACTCCTCTACGGACTTTTGGAAAAAAACATGGAAGTGTGGTCACTATTTACATCTCAAGACAGTCATTTTTTATGGCAATATGGCATATCAAATGTTCCTACGAAATAAAGAAATTTTATATGGTGCCCCCATAAGCTAAGGCAGATATATTCAATTAGTACATTCTCAAATTTTTTCAAGATGACAACTTCCAAAAGAAGTTGCAGATGAAGGGAGGTGTAGCTAAATGCAAAGAAAAG